TGTGAAAACCTTCCGCCGGCGTGGACGCGGGGGAGTGCAGGACCCGACGTGCAGGGCCCGCCTCTGAGGCTGGCCGGCGCTCAGGCCCTGCACGAGTGACCGCGAGAGGCAGGGGCGTCGCTTCTCCCTTCCTCTCGGCCCTCTGGGGTGCTTTGCGAGGCTGCTCATCCGGCTTATCCTCCTGTTTCTGCTGCTCCTCCTCCTTCTGCTGCTTCGCTTTCTCCTACTGCTGCTGCTTCTGTTGCTCCTGCTCCTCCTCCTCCTCCTTCTCCTCTCCCCCCCACCTTCCCTCCTCCTCCTTCCTCTCTTCTCCCACCTCCTCTTCCACCTCCACCTCCCTCCTCTTTCTACTCCCGTTCCTTCTCACCCTCCTCCTCCTCCTCGACCTTTTCTTCCTCCATATCCCCCCCCCCCGCTTCTTTCCTCTTTCTCCCCCTCCTCTCTCTTGCCGTTCCGCCCCCCCCTCCCCCTCCCCTTCCCATCAGTCGCTCCCCACCCCTTCCTTCCATCAGCCGCTCACCCCCCCCCCTTCCTTCCCATCAGCCACTCACCCCCCCCCCCTCCCCCCCCCAACCGGTTGCAGGCGAGAGTTCGTCGAGGATTCCCTCCTTCTTCCCACGGACCTCTGCATCAGGGGAGGAAGGGGTTTGTCTGGGACTGAATTATTCATGAGCCTCAACTCTTTCTCTTTCTTTATACTTACATACATATAAACATGCATGCATATGTATATAACTACATATATATGTATGTATATATATATATATATTTATATAAATGTGTGTGTGTGTGTGTGTGTGTGTGTGTGTGTGTGTGTGTGTGTGTGTGTGTGTGTGTGTACACACATACACATATATATACAGACCTTGCGCTTAATTTTTTTTTCAACTATCCTGCTGATCTAGTAAATTGCGTTGTTTTACTAGCCCGCAGCAAGTTTTACTAGCTCAGATATTGAATTTAACAACAAGATTAATCAAACACTATCTCTTCGAGTTAGATTAAGAGATCATCAAGGATTTTTTTTTTCAAACTTCTTACTCTAAAAATTTCCAGGTCGACTCTTTGCTTGCGATTTAACCTGTTAATTAATTTGCGATTGTATACTTTTTGCTAATCCGCCGGGCTAGCTAGGTAGTGCAGGTTACTAGCTCGTTTGCTAGAATTACTAGATAATGACCGTTGGGCTAGTGCTAAGGTCGAGCCCTGTATGTGTGTGTGTGTGTGTGTGTGTGTGTGTGTGTGTTGTGTGTTGTGTGTTGTGTGTGGTGTGTGTGTGTGTGCGTGTGTGTATAGATATATGAGTGCGTGTATAAATATGTGTGTGTGTGTGGATATATATATATATATATATATATATATATATATATATATATATACATATAAATATATACACATGTGTGTGTGTGTGTGTGTGTGTGTGTGTGTGTGTGTGTGTGTGTGGTGTGTGTGTGTGTGCGTGTGTGTTGTGTGCGTGTGTGTGTTGTGTATGTGTATATGTATGTGTGTGCCTGCATTTTCATTGATTCAACCGCCGATTCGAAAAGAAAGCTTCCACCTCATGGTTGTGTATTAATCTAAATAAAAGCCATAGACCATTAGCCATTAACTCCTCGAGACTAATTTAATGGAAGCCGTTTGCTCTGAGGCGGACGGAGGGGGGGGAGGGGGCCTTGGGGGATGCAGCAAAGCTTACCAAGAGTTGCTTCATTTTTTCTGCTTCGTTTGCGAATTCCGAGTGAAAAAAGATGGCGATGAGTTGGCGGGTTTGTTCAGGAAATGAAGTGCCTGCTGCGAGGAACGGTTGCGCTAAAAAAAATAGGCGTGTTCATTAATTAAAAGTAAATAGCTAAATAGATAGATAAATAAATGATGATGCCGTGAGAACATGTCACGGTATCATGACATTGCTTCATTTCTCTCTCTCTATCTTTCTCTTCGGCTCTCTCTTTCCTCTCCTCTCTCTCTCTCTCTCTCTCTCTCTCTCTCTCTCTCTCTCTCTCTCTCTCTCTCTCTCTCTCTCCTCTCTCTCCTCTCTCTCTCTCTTCTTCTCCCTCTCCCCTCTCCCTCTCTCTCTGAAGTTTAATTGTTTATAGGTAAGGAGGTGGAAGTATGAAGGAGAAGAGGAAAGAGGAGAAAGGAGGAGGAAAAGGAAGGGAGGAGAAGTTCGCAGCCTGTCATAGCTCGACCCGCCTCTCTGACGCGGCCGCCTCAGTCTGCACAACCCCCCCCCCCCTCTCCCTCTTTCTTTCTCGGTTTCTTCCTTTTGTTCTTTCTTACTGCCCTCGCTGTCCTCGAAGTCGTATGAGTGCACATAGAAGGCTGTATGTAAATGTTTTCTGTGTATGTGTGTCCGTCAGTATGTTTATGTGTTTTCATGTGTCTCTTTCTGTTTTCCTGTTCGTCGCGTTTGTCTGTGTTTCTCCGCCTATACGTGTTTTATAACAGCTGGGGATCTGTTTATGTTTACCAACGGAGCAGAGCCTCGTGGCCGGTTTGCCAAGACCCCGGTGGCGTTATGTTGTTCAGTGCTCAAGGACTCTTGCATTAGTCTGGTTTATACAAAGACGTGAAATGTCATTTACTGTTTCATAGTTTGCTTCTTTTTTTTTAAATTATTATTATTTTTTTTTTTTTTAATATAAGATTCGACGTTTGTCTTTATCATTCGCTGAACTGATCAGACATTAGTGCTATGAGGAGGTCTTTAGAGCCAATTCTTAAGACGTTTCTCTCTCTCTCTCTCTCTCTCTCTCTCTCTCTCTCTCTCTCTCTCTCTCTCTCTCTCTCTCTCTCTCTCTCTCTCTCTCTCTCTCTCTCTCTTTCATCTCTATAGTCCTTTGGAAACTGTGGGAATTATTAAAGCGGTGGCAGACCAGCGCTCGTGCAAGCAGGTGGAAAAGACTAACAAAATAAGTTAAACAAACTTGGAAACAGGCGAGCACACAAGCACACACACACACACGCACACGCACACACACGCCTCCTGTCAGGCGGAAGCCGTCCAGGCGACGGGGCCGAGCGGGAAAGAGACGAATTCTAAAGCCATGCACGAGCGCAGGGTCCTGCTTGCACCACGCAGAATGGGGGAGGAAGCGCTGTGTTGCATGAGGAGGGGGGTCGCGGGGGGGGGGGGAGGAGAGGGGAGGAAGAGGAGGAGGGTTAGGAGGAGGAGGTGGAGGAGAGGGTTGGAGGAGGAGAGGAGGAGGAAGGGGAGGAGGAGAGGAGGGGAGGATTAGGAGGAGGAGGAAAGGAGGTAGGAGGGAAGGAGGAGGAGGAGGAAGAGGAGGGGAAGGAGGAGGCGGGGAAGAGGAGGGAAGAGGAGGGAGGAGGAGGAGGAGGGAGGAGGAGGAGGAGAGAGGAGGAGGAGGAGAGGAGAAGAAAGAAGAAGAAGAAGAAGAAGAAGAAGAAGAAGAAGAAGAAGAAGAAGAAAAGAAGAAGAAAAAATGAAAAAAAAGAAGTATAATAATGATACTAATAATAGTAATAAAGAGGAGGAGAAGAGGAGTGGAGAAAGGGGAAGAGGGAGACGTAAGGATGGAGGAGGAGAGGAAAGGAGCAGGAAAAGGGGGGAGGAGGGAAAGGGGTGGTGGGGGGGGAAGTGGGCATGAAGGGAGGAGGAGGAAGGGAGGAGGAAGAAGAGGGGAGGGAGAGAGGAGGGAGGAGGAGGAGGAGGAGGGGGCCGGGGGGCGGGTTTCGAGCATGTCCAGACACGTGTCTGTGACGTCAGGCCTCTACATGTCCTGGTCGCCTTGCATTCACATCCTGGTATTCGGCGGACGATTCGGCGAGGAGGTCTAAGTGTTATGGGCGTGGGCGGCGCGGGCGTTTGTGTTAGGAAGTAAGTGAGTGGATGAGTGAATGTGTGAATGAAGGAATGAATGAGTGAGTGAGTAGGTGAGTGCATGAGTGAACGAATGAATGAGTGATTAAGTGAGTGCATGAGTGAATTAATGAGTGAGTCAGTAAGTGGAGTGAAAGAATTAATGAGTGAGTGAAGTGGATGAGTAAATGTGTGAGTGAATGAATGAATGAGTGTGTGCATGAGTGAATGAATTAATGAGTAAGTAAGTGGATGAGTGAATGTGTGAGTGAATGAATGAATGTGAGTAAAGTGAGTGCATGAGTGAATGAATGAATGAGTGAGTGCATAAGTGAATTAATGAATGAATGAGTAAGTAAGTGAGTGCATGAGTGAATGAATGAATGAGTGAGTGAGTGCACGAGTGAATAAGTGAATGTAAGTAATGAATGAGTTGAGTGAGGGAGAGGGGAGTGAAAGATGAATGAGTGAGTGATGATTGAGTGAGTGGGTGAGTGAAGGAAGGAGTGAGTGAGTAAATGAGTGAGTAAATGGGTGAGTGCGTGCGAGGCGGACCTGCCCCTCGGATCCTCTTCTCCGGCCGCAGAGTCCGTCCCGACCTCGCGTGTCCTGCTCCGAGTGCGTCACTTGCAAGCATTTTTCTTCACTTGCTTCTTCTTCCTCTTTCTTCACAACCTCCTCTCTCTATTTTCTTTCTTGTTCTCTTCGCTTCGCTTCCTTTTCTTCTTTCATTTCAACCGTTCGTCCCTCTTACTTCACGTTCTCCTGTCTTCCAATCGCATTCCTGTCTTCCCATTTCCCTCCCCCCCACCCCCCCTCCCCTTTCCCTTCCGAGGACGACCTTTCTCGCCCTTCCTCGTCAGCCTCTCCTGATGAGAATAATGATAATAATGATGCGGGAGGAGGCGTTCGCGGATCTCAAATTCGGGGACTTTTAGGGCCTCTTCGGCGTGCGAATTTCCGCGATGACTTTGCAAGTTCGTTTCGTTTGCGGAAAGTGTTTGTTTGTTTGTTTTGTGTGTGGGTCACGTGGTTATCCCTTTTCCGACCCTCCTCCTCTTCCCCGAAACGCTGTGCATTTACTCCTTCATTTATCAAGCGATGGGGGTACGTTTCCCCGCCTTCCTTTAGCCGTCCTCCTCCTCCTTCTCCTTCTTCTCCATCATCCCTTCTCCTC